TTTTTTTTCTCAACTATAACAGCAATTATATGCTTGCTGGGTCCAAAGGCCCTCTATCGACTTTAGGAACAGGAATTGTGATACAGTCATTAATATTGAACGTAGAAATTATAACCTATAACAAATAACAAAAAAAAAAATTACTTAAATATATTGTACACATCCAATTTATTTACTATGTATGTCAAATTGTTATAAATAATAAATAATTAGATACCTGTAACATTCTTTTGGCGGCTTTGTTTTGACCTATATGCGATGTTTCATGTTCTTCTTCTATTTTTTGATTTGTTTTACACAAATCACAAAAGTCTTCTGTGGATTCAATTTTACAAATTCCGCAATATCGTTTAACATTTATTTATTCTTGTATAGAAACTTCTTTTGGTAAATTAGATGTTGTTAATCCAACCTTAGGCTCACAACCAAATAATGCTTTGTAAGGAGATCGGCCAATTATGCGGTGGTGTGAAGAGTTTTTCTGGAATCGGACAAACTTCAATCCCACAGACCATTTTTTAGATTTATTGTCCTTCATCCATGCTCGAAGCATATTTTCGACATCCTGATTGCTACGTTCAATACTTCCCTGACTCTGAGGATGTCTTGGTCTCCCATGTACAATAATACATTCCGGCCAAAGTTCCTTAATTTCGTTAATAACAGAATTTACAAACTCTCTACCGTAATCACTTTGTAAAACTTTCGGTGCACCAAAAGTTAAAAAAATTGTGAGTAAATTAGATGCTACTTCGACCGCTCGTTTACTTTCAAGTGGAAATAAAAATATACATTTTGTATGGTGATCTTGATAGTTTAAAATCCATTTATATTTTCCGTCAGGTAATGACTGGAAATCCACCCAGTCAACTTGATCTCTCTCGTTGAAGTCTTTGCTTACAATTGGTTTGATAACCAATTTACGATTTGGCACTTTCTTACTATTACAGATTGCGCATATTGATAGAAAAGTTTCAATAGCTGGTCTTGGAATTGAATATTTACTGTGCCGCACGCATTTTCCCCACACCACCATGTCCAGTACGTATATGATAATCACTTAGTCTTTCGAACAAGTCTTCGTATGACACAACATACCTATAAAATATATAAATTAATTATCATTGTATATTATCATTTATTTATTTATTTTATCTACGTGGCGCTACGACACGTATAAATGTTCACGTGCAACGTGCCATAGCGTCGGATTTCCACTTTCTGTAGCGCACATTCGTAATATTTATTGGCAAGCCTTCGGTCGAGCACAGTGATCGCTCTTGGACCGTCGCGCCGCGGCCATCGCAGTATGGTTTTCGTATGCAATTTGTTTTTAATTACTTATTTACTTTATAGATATAAATATATCTTACTTGATATCATCTTTGTCGTCCGTTTTTTTATGAATTAAATATTTCTTCTCGGCCACAGTTAATACATCATATTTATGTAAAATATAATAATCACGTCTTTTCTTTGCACCTCTGTGAAATTTAAATTTAAATTAGTTACCGATACTCACGATTAACGGGTGGTCAAATTATCTATTTTGTAGGTACTTGTTTAATTTAGCATCAGTTATTTCGGCCATAATCGTCTCAATCTTCATATTTGTATATGGCTTTTTTCCCGGTTTGTTCAAATAATACTTGTTCATTCAAATGTAAAATTCACTTTTTGGATTAAAATCTTCCATATTATTAAGATTATACAAAATTATTTTAAAGTAAATATCTAAAATGCGTGAATGTTCGAGCACAATGCAATCCGTTCACCGACTATACACTTTTGAACAAAAATCTAATATGATAAATCAAAATTAATAAAATATAACTTGCTCGTTTCAGATAACCAGGTAATTTTATTTAATAGATATTATTGTATAATAGAATTTGTGCTAAAAGAATTTCGTGCTTAAATCAATAGTTATAAATTATAACTTATAACATATTTCATATCTACTGATAAAAATGATTATAAGACCATGATAAATATTAAATATATTTTCGGTACACAAAGTGAACGACCAGATTGTGAAAAAAATTACACGATGTCAAATTGGAACGACCGTTTCATGAAAAAGTGACCATATCATGAAATATTTTCGTATTTCACGAAATGTTAAAAAGTTGTTTCCATTTCATGAAATGGTTAATTTCACTAAGTGGCTACGACATATATATATATATATACAGTAGTCACTCGATAATTCGAAATTCAGGGGACCGAGTTAAAAATTCGATTTATAGAGGTTTTCGATTTACCGAGTGTTCGAATAATCGAAGGAAAAAAATTAATAAATAAAATACATTGTATATACATATATATATATATATAACGTTTATTTTGATATTAACTTATTATAAATATAATTATGTACATTTTAAAATTATTAATTGATATTTATTTATTACACATACATAGTATTATATTTTATATACATATTACATATTAAAGAAATCTGTTATTTTTTTTTTGTGAAAAATTGTTGGTCGCAATCTGGTCCATAGCATTGTCTAACTTAATAATAGCATTGAAAATTGTATCGCATCTTTTTTCGTCCATTTCAGATTGTTCAAAAAATTGATGTAATCCTGACATAAAAAATTTTGCTTCTTTTAACGATATGACAGGAACCTCCGCCTCCTCTTCCTCGTCATCATTGTCAGAATTGTGCTGATTGACTGAAGTGGATTGAATCATTTCCTCGTCAGTAAAAGTACCAGCAGTTAGTTGCGACATTATCGTCAAAGTGAACAAATTCTTCAAATGATACGGGAACTTCTAGTCTGTTCCATGTGCTAAGCAGAACTTCAACCTCCTCACTTTGAACAGGAATACCTTCAACAATTTTCTGTCTATCCTTAATAAAACCACAAGTTCTGAAGCAATTCACGATGGTTTATGCACTAATATTTTCCCATGCTTTGTGTACCATTTCCATAGCAGTGAGTATAGAAATTTTACATGGAACATCACCCATGCTCGAACAATTTCCTCTCGATACATCATTTTAAAATTTTTTATTATTCCTTGGTCTAGTGGTTGGAGAGTTGATGTAGTGTTGGGAGGTAAAAAATGAATTTTTATATTTTCAAGATGAGGAATATTATTGTGTGCGGTACAGTTGTCAACGAACATCAAAATTTTTCGATTTGCCTTTTTCATATCTACATCGATACATAACAACCACTCTGTAAACAATACACCTGTCATCCACGCCTTTTTATTTGACCGGTACATTAGTGGGAAAGATTTTACGTTTTTAAAACAGCGTGGGTTAGCAAATTTTCCGATCATTAAGGGCTTAAGTTTCTGTGATTCATCCATGTTCGCGGTCAACATCACTGTTATCCGTTCTGTACTATTTTTACTACCATGACATTTTTCGTTTTTAAATGTCAAAGTGCGATCTGGTAAACATTTGTAAAAAAGTCCGGTCTCATCGGCATTAAAAATATCCCTAGCATCATAATCATCAACCAATAGATCGATTAACTCATTTTTCCGATCTTGTGAAATGCACGGCTCAACACTTGCACTCTCTCCACATACTTTTTTGAAAGTTAAACCATGACGTTTTATAAATTTTTCCAACCAACCCTCATTAGCTTGAAAATTTGTGATACCTAAGTTGGTAGCAAACAACTTAGATTTTTCTTTTAAAATAGGTCCTGATATTGGAATATTATTTTGCCTACATTGAGTAAACCAAGCCATAAGACATTCTTCCAGATCGGGGTACTCACATTTTTTCTGTCTGATCCGCGATGAATAAGGTGTTAATGTTGTAAGATTTTGTTTTAGTATTGTTGAAAGCGTAGAAGGTGGGATACCAAAACGTAGAGCAACATCTTTTTTTTTCACCTGCTTCAACTGCTGCGATCACTTTTTTTTTGTCGGCTATCGACAAACACTTGTATTTTACGGGATCCATATTGCGACTGACTACGTTTTATTCAATTTCAATAACGGTTTACTCATAGCAGAGGTTTATTTTGGTATAGATTAGGTAGGTAAGATACGATAACATTAAACTACGATAATATTTAACCACCGTCGTTATTAGTTTCATTACCAGTACGTTAAATATATTGTACATAATCTTTATACATATGAACGTACATATAATCATGTTTAAAGAAATTCGAATTATCGAGATTCGTGAAAAAAAAATTCGAATTGTAGAGTGTGCCTCACCGACAGACATTTCGAATTATCGAGGGGACCGGAATACATGTATTTTTTTCTAATTATAGAGGTTTTCTCATGGGACTTAGCGTTTAGTTCGATTTATGGAGTTTTTCGAATTATCGAGTGACTACTGTATATATATATATATATATATATGTATAAATATATAAATGTTACAGTTAAAATCTGAAATTCGTCAAAACTGATTTTGACTAGTTATAACCATTGATTAAATATACATTGTATATTTAATCAATGTTAAAACTAAAATTAACCACACATGCTATATGCATACAAATATAAGTTATAACTAGGGCTCGGAATTATATGCATGCATTTATGCGATAGTTATCATTCAAATATGCACTAAAAATGTGTGAAAATATGCAAACAAAAATGCATGTTTATTATTTAAAATTATTTAATCTTAAAATGTATACAATTCATTAAATAATTAATATCCAACAAAAAATAAACTTTAAAATATATCAACTGCATTTTATTGAACTGTATGGAACTGTATGTTGTATTTAAATTAAATTGTATTTTGAACACTCACTCATATAAACAAAAATTCACAAACGAAAATTAATTTAAAAAAACAAGCAAATTTTTATAGTATTTTTGAAGTTACCTAGAGAGTTACTATCGTATTGGTACTTTTAGCAAACTTTAATTTATCTTATTATAACACAAAAATCAAATTATATAATTGCACGATTTACGGATCTTACAATGGATATGTGCTAAGTAATAAATAATAATATTAATAACTTCATAATATTTTTTTCTATTTATGCAATATATTTCAGAAAAGTGCTAAACTATGCATAATAATTTGAAATGTTCCAAATATGCGAAAATATGCCAAATTTAATTTCGCGTACCAACACGTTAGGTTAAGATTCTGTTAAAAAATAAAAAATTCTGTTTTACCTAGCTACTTTTTAGTTTAATATATAAAAATATGCAAAAGCATATAATTCCGGGCCATAGTTATAACTTACCTATAATCGCTATCATGGGAGGTTTTTGATATGAAATGTTCTATAGTTGATACTTTGCAGAGGAGGGGAGGGGGTAACTTCTCAATAGTTTCGAATCATCGAGAACATTTACGGTTTACTGAGTTTTTCAATAAAATCGATATTAACATCATAGCAAATAACGGTATAATTTTATAAAGATTTCGATTTATATAAAACTATTTATAGATGTTTGAAAAATTCATGTTTTTTTATTTTAAAATACCAATAAAATTATTTTTGTTTGATATAAATCTTGATATAATTGAATACAAAGTTTCTTTTACATATCTCTTATCAACTAGTGAAAAAAAAATTAATCGTTAATTAAAAAAAATATTGGTTTTAAGTTTAAAAGTTCAATACAGCAATATAATTCGGTGTTGGTGAGTTGCTGCCCGATCCCTAAATAACGTACGAATTGCGGCCCGTGTTTATGAAACAGGCGTGCGAGTTGCGGCCCGTGTTTATAAAACAGACGTACGAGTTGCGGCCACATTTTACATTTTATTTATCACTTCATATCAGTTTATCAGCGTTACCCAGAAGACACCATGAGGAGGTTGGCTGAGTCGTCTCCCAAAAATTTGTTTTTTTTTATTTATGTAAAAATGGCAAAATATATGGTAATTTATGGTAAAATGAATTTTAATATTTATGTAAAATATGTAAAAATATATATATTTATTGGTTGGGCAAAAACTTAAAACTTAATGATTTGACGAAATCAAACTGCTCTATTTCTTTTCGTGCTAGCTTTGTCATCTGTTGTCTTATAAATGCTTCTTTTTCACATATTTTCTTCGTTTTTATTCCATTGCTTCTATCGTTTTTTAGTGTTTTGTGGAAACGAAATTTGTAGCCTTCGTAGAGAATAATTGGTTTTGATTTTTCACTATTTACAAACTCCATAACGCACTTGTAAACTGTATAACACACTCTAATAGAATTTTTAGTTTTCGTAGATATAAATACTAAGTGGTGAACAGACTAACACTGTAATATTTTTCGTTTGAACTATTGACGTTATGGTATCTACTTTAGATAAGATACTGCCGATACTGCCGGCACAAAATTGAAAATAAATAAATTTCCCGGGCCGCAATTAACTTAGTGATAAAATATGACCGGGCCGCAATTCACCGGTCTTCAACACGTAAATGACATGTCGGGCCACAACTCACCTATAGCCATATAATTCACCCATTCCAATATCTGTCCGTACATTTTTTTGTATATTACATAATACTCCAGTCTCGGGTGTAACTATTGATGTATAACATGTATTGAATACTAAATTAATTTGCAATCGTATACTTTATCGCTGTGGTTCATATTGTGTTGTAGGAAATCACTCTAGTCACTTTCAATTTCTTCTGTCTGTAGTTGTAAGAACATGGCTGGGTGTATCGATGACCTATCAAAGTCAATGGGAGCCCTGTTTACCAGTGATGATGACCATTTGAAGGAACTCGGACTGACCGATGCCAAGCGTGCTAAGCTACGTGAAATTGAAAATTATTACGAGAGTGTCTTTTCGTGGGACGTCAAAAAACTAACGAACTTCAAATCAAGTCTCTTGATCGACCATATCGATCATATTCAGGAAAAATATGAAATGCATATAGCATGTTACAAGAAAGATGCGTTTGATTTGAAAAGGTATAACTTCAAGTACGATTGGTTCTTGCTAATGGTATTGATCACGTTTAGTTTTATGAGTATAACTCATTGTAGGCATTTTCTTTTAGAAAATATCACATTACATATTTATAATGAATAGAATTAAAATTAAATATATAGGTATATTTTGAAAAGGTGTCAATACTTAATATTGTACTTAAAATTACTTTAAAAAAATGATTAATAAAAACGTTTTGTATTAAAATAAAAATTTATATTTACAATAATTATTTTGGAAAAATATATAAAGTTTGAAATTCCTTGAACAAAAATAATAAAATCGGAAATATTTTTATTTTAAGTAAAAAACTAAATTATGCGAATATACCTACATTTTATATTTTTATTTAGAAAAAGAGAATAGAGCTTTAATTTTTTTTATTTAGGTTTGAGCTATGTTTTATAATTAATAATATTAAAATGTAAAACAATTTGATGAAACTTTGAAAATAAATATATTTAAGAAATGTAATAAAATAAATAAGTAAATAATTCAAGTGCTTAAAATGATTAAAGTAATAATTTTAAAATTTAGAAATTTAAAAATTACATAATATTTCTTAAATAGAAATTTTGTTCTTGAAATAATATGTAGGATAAACCATATACATATATACATATGTTACCGGCAATATGGATAATTCAGGTATTTTGCAAAATGCTTAGGTATTATGCGAATTGCCGACCCATTTTAGGCAATGTAAATAAAATATATGATTTTCAATATTATTTTACATATAACCTAGGTGTTTTATAAAATACCTAGGCATTATACGAAATGCAAATTTTTTTTAGGTAAAGTACAAAACGTTTTATTATATGTTATATTACATTGAGATTCTTATAATTATTATACATTATTACTCATATTACAAACAAAATTTAATTTTTATGTATTATTATATTATAAATATTATATAAATATTTTACTTAAACTACTATTTATTTATTATAACATGTTATAGAAAAGTAAAATTTTGAAGTGCACAAAATGTTATTTTTAAGGCACTTTTTATTTTGATACTTGGACTTACAAACACATTTTAAAAATCCTTAGCCAATTCTTGTGGATTGAATTTTTATCAACTCATTTCACTGTTTATCAAATAAAAAACTAATATTAGAGGCCAAATTTTTTAAAAAATGTTGTAGTTTGTTATAAAAATTTGACTTCATATAAATCGTACCTATGCATACACCAAAACGAGACACGAAAATGACGAGAAAAATTACGATTTTGTAATAAAATTATTAGTACGTTTAATATTGTAACTCTGAATAATTATTATAGTAGTAAAAGAATATTAATCTTTATTGCGTTAAATCGTGCACGCACATTTATGATAGACGATAACTAAAGCCGTTAGTAATAGGCTATGCCCAATTTTGTTTGTTTTTATCATATTGCCGAGTGATTTTTGGCATTTTATATAATGCCTAGGTTAGGCATTTTGCAAAATACCTGATTATCCATATTGCCGGTAACATATATATATCTACAATTATAACATTTATTACAGATATAATTGTAACTTAACATTTATAACTGATAAATTTATAACCTGTTAACCAGGGCTTGGGACTTATGGTCTTTGCTTAATATTATGTAAAATATAGTAGAGTGTTATGGAAGTGTATTTCATGTTATAAGCTTTTAATTATGTAATTTGAAATTACTCTTTTTTTCCTTTTTTCGACGATTTTTAAAAAAATGCTTATTTCCTGTTTACAGACTATTTTTGGTTTTTTTTTTACATATCTCTGCTTAATTTTAAACGATGATATAGAACCTAACCCAGATTTTTTCAACTATTTATAAATATCTTAACATTTTATTTTTCAGAAATAAACTTCAGAAAATTTATAAAAAATAAGGTAAAATGTCTCGACAGTCAAAGTTAAAATTTTTTTAATAATATAAAGATTTATTTATTTTTTTTTTAAATTAAAAAATCATAATATGGACTAGATACTTTTTTTGTTTTAATACTTTTTGTAATCATTATAATTGTAATTATATACTGCACAGTTAAAAATATGTCTACTACTTTATCATGTTCATTTAAAAATAAAATTTAGAAATGTTTGCTAATTTTTTCCTATTTTAGGTCATTTTTTTTATTATTTAATATTTTTGTTGTTTAAATTTAAGTTTTTTTAATGCTTATTTGAGTGCTTATAATGATGTTTTTATGTGCTCTTTAAACACTTATTTTAATGATTTTAAGTTCTATAAGTCCTGAGCCCTACCGATAACCAATATGGTAGACATATTATGAAAGATCACCTTTGAACACGTACTTACATTCAAACATGTGTAAATATTTACCGAACAGATTATAGTTTTTCAAATATTATTCAATCTAAATGTTTTAAGACTCTTTTATCATATGTACACATTATTTTTCATAAATTACATAATTATTTAATGCAAACGAAAAAGCTAAAACAAATTTTTAATTTTTTTTTTTTATAATTTAGATTTTGTTTGCAACTGATCATAAGTTATGAACTATACAACCGTAAAAATTACGAGAAATCGTTATTGGAAATCGAGAGCATGTTTCTTTATTTGAAATCATGTAAATTTGACGATTCCAACAAACAGTATTCAGAAGCTTATAAACATATTGCTTGGTCTACATATACATACATATCCTTAACGTTAAATCGTGATTCTGAAAAGGTTAATTTGAATCAGTAATTTTTATATGAACTTTTACAGTGAATTAAAGCTATTTCATTGTTTTCCTCTTAGATACTGAAAAATGTTAAACCCGTTAATGGTTTAAATCAAACAGAAAAAGCGGCAATATGTGGTCTTAAAGCCTTGATATTTATGGAATATCCACCAAAGGGGAATGATATTGGTTTAAAACTTGCTGAAGAAGCTCGCATTCTTGATTCTTCTGAAATTGAATGGATAAAGATTTGGTTAAAAGCCAAAGGACGAGTAAGACGTTTCTATGATATGCTTAAAATTCCTGATGAAGATGAAATTCATGCAGCAGACATATTATGCACTAAAACAAATCCACGAGATTTGATCGAAGCTTCTGACTTGTACATAAATGTAGCCTCCTCTTATAAACAAGACAAAGAGAAAGCTCGAAAATATTTCAAGATCTCGTCAGATGTTATATTGTAATTATCAATCATAAAAAATATATAGTGATAAAATTGATTAAATATACATAAATAAATATACTTAATCATTGGTAATAAAACAACAATTTAAAATGTCTAACCAATACATTTTCTAATTTAATAACTATAAACAGTTGACAGTTTTTTTAGGGATTATTTTTTTCTTGATAATTTAATAACAACCATTTTATAACCTAAGGGAAAATCTTTAATTCTTACTTTAACAATTTTTATTTATGTATCTAATAGGAAAGCCATACGATTTTCGGAAAATAACGTACATGAACTTTGTTCTTGTTTAATGGCGAGTAACAGATGTCCTATAATGTTCCAATCAAAAGAGGTAAAAAATATAGTTGAAAAATTGACTAATATTAAAAATGGCCAGTTTGATTTAGCTTTGGGACAGTATTTTTTTAAGCAAGAAAAAGTAAGTCTATTTTTGATTTTTAAAATATACATATTTTATTAATAGAGGATAAAAATGGTAAAATTTCATTTTTTTCTTTAGGATTACGAAAAAGCAAAAATGTATTTTTCTCGTGGAATGGCTGTTGGAAACTTCGATTGTTCATTAAATCTTATAAAAACTCAGTGTATCGAGTCATCAATTGATGAATTTCCTTTTGTAAATCAGCTAAAAATGATATATGACGTTTTTCCAAGCCCAAAGAGGAGGCTTATAATTTTATTACAAATATTGTATTTTTATTTTTATCATGAAGATAACCCAAGAGAACTAATGCATTATTTAAAATTATACATGGATCAAGAAATCGAAGATAAGATTAAAAAACAACAGATAATTGTAAGTTTAAAATGTAAAAATATTAGATACTTTTTTAAATGTTTTTAAATTACTCATAGTCAGTGCCGGATTTAATCATTGTGCCGCTTTAAGCACTAAACAAATTGCCGCCTTTTAATATAAATATTTTTCTAGCCTAAAAAATGTTATTAAAGCATACAATTATAGTTGTTTCCTTTATTACTTAAAATGTTATTAATGTAAAATAAAAATATACAGCTGTTATAAAAATGTATACATTCATATAAAAAACTGAATTGATAAAAAATCATGGTAATAAAAAATGCTTAAATATTTCATTTTTAAATATATTCAAAATTAAATAGTTAGTGCCTAGTACTCATTGACTTTAATAAAATAAAACATTTTATAATTAGTTGCATTTATTTTAGTTCTAGTTACATATAATAAAAATGTAATATTAAAAATTATTTGCCACCCTAAGCACTAGCTTATAGTCTTTGTTGGAAAATACGGCACTGCTCATAGTTTTCATTTTCCCATTTAATTTAGCTTAATTTTTTTAAAAAAGTAATTAGATTCTAAGCAAAGTATGTATTGAATTCATGTTCTTTATTCTAACAAATGCAAGCAAATTATTAATTTTCTTTTATAACATTTTTAATTGAATTTTAATGGTATTGGAGGAAAATTTTTAGGAGATTTTCCAGAGTAAAAGGTAATAGAACTTTGAAATAATTTTTTTTATATATAATAATCTTAATTACTTACAAAATAATTAATATGGAATATCTAAAATATATAATATATAATAAAAAACATAGAATAAAAATAAGTAGAACCGGGATGTTGACGAATCTTAAAAACTGATAACTTTTTTTAAATAAATTTACTTTAACATCATAAGCTATGATTTCTTTTTCTTTTTTATTTAACCTTTCATTTAAATTTATCCAATTACTTAAATTATTTACTACTGATAAATCCAATGGTAGTACATTAAATGTTTGGAAATATATCGTAGTTGTACCTTCAAAAGAAAATACATATTAATTATTTTTATTTGATGTATCAAAGTGGTTTCAGAGCATTACCTTAGAGACCCTCTCTTCCAAATTACCAATCTGTATTACATTATTGCTTGGTAAAGAACTATGAACTGTACAAAAAACTTTTATAGATAATATTACAATCTTACGTAACACATAAAAGCTCAAAATAATAACTCAAAATACAAAGTTATAATATTAAGTTATTCACGTGTAAATTCCATCTCATACCCGTATGCTTAATAACGGTTAATCTCAAATAACGTATACTTGTGGCTAGATAAAGTTTTACATATCTTATCATTGCAAAAGTTTTTACTATCACAAAAGTATATAGTTAAACCGATTAATCAATTAAATATATCATGTTCATTTAGCAAAATAATTTTATGTTATAAATAATTTATAGACACATGAGCTATGTCAGTGAAGTCCCTAGACCTTTTTATAGGAGGAAGGCCGAAATTCATAAATATATTCACGTTTATGTATTTTTCTAGTATGATAAAAATAATAGATAACAACAATTTGAAGAAAAAAAGGTTATGGGGGCCGACTTTCCCATTCACACTCCTCTCCTGAAGATGCCCCAGAGTTTTGTTGAAAACAAACTGATAATAAGTGAACATCCTGTCAATGAGTTTCATTGATTATTTACCATTTTTAGTTTTAAATATTGAATTATTAATGTAAAAATTTAATGCCTATTTCCGTAGCATTTATTATATTTGTATTAAATGTGCAGTAGAATAATTTAATTTTAATCTAGCTATAGCCTAATTTAATCATAGCAATGAATTAGTCCATATTTTGTTAAATTCATTGAATAATAATTTAATTTAAATTTTAATTTCAGAAAGGAAGTCCATTTTTCAAGAAGCCTAAATGTTATGTTAAATATAATGAATTTTTATCTAATTTACTTAAAGAAGTGAAACATTTAATAAAACACCCTCAATGGACTGAAGAAGAAAAATGTATTATAAATGATACATATGTTCGGTGCTATAAAATGTCAAGAGTTAACTTAAATGAAAATGAGTTTGTTGATGATGGTCAAATGTTTTTAAATAAAAAAAACGAGGACCGTTATAATAAAAACCCGTTAAAAAATAGCAATAATGATAGTTGGCGGAAAAAACGCAACGTACATAAAAATTATGATGGACAATAATTTCAAAATAATTATCGTCTTTACAATATCATTACACATGCAAATTTGAATTTTTAATTTCTCAAAATATGATTATTCATTAAGAAATCAAAATTTATCATCTGAAAAAATGAAAAATAAAATTGTTATATTATTGATTATAAGTCTAATCATAAACTAGATTTAAAATCAACATTTGTATGAAAACCATTTGGTCTTTAACTATGTAATTAAACAAATTTTATGCATATTTTTTTTGACTTTATAACACAAATGGCACTTGAAAAAAAAAAAACATTATTTAATAATTATTATTATTTATTGATATTTATAGAAGTTCATTGTTTGATGTTAAGCAAAAATTATAATAATGTATTTATCTATATTTGTACTTCATTTTTTAAATGTATTTAACAATCTTTCTTTTATTATTATACTATTCTACTGTTGATTTAAAGAATGTGGACCGTATGAAAAAACTCATTTTTATATATTATATACTTGTTTTATTCTTAATAATAATAAGAATAAAGGTCACACGGATAAGCCTATTGCCTCGAGGCAGGCGGAGCACACACACTGCTATTTTCGTAGCACTGCCTGAGCAGTCCACGATAATCGGCAAGCGTATATATACATTATTCATTTAGATATAAAAGATATATATTGGCGTCAACATACCGCCCGCCTTGAAAAATAGAAATATTCATAATAAAAAGCATAAAAAAAAGAACAATTTTTCAACAAATATACATATGAAAAAATCGAAAATAAATTAATAATTAAATTATTGTAGCACTAAATGATAATAATAGATAAATAATAATATAAATGATACATAATTAGGGATTGAAATATATTCCTCTTTTTTTTTACAAAAAATATAATACATAAAGGTTTTACTTTTTATAAATTTATAGGCATATTAATTCAGGGACTATTTCCCTCAAAGGGAAGTGGACATAATTTTCTGATCGCTCTGGAGACTTCCTTTCCTCCCAGCCATATGGTTGCAACTCGAATTACCCCGTCGTCGCCTGCCTGGACCCGCATGACTCTACCCAAGGACCATGATAGCGGGGGAACACCGTCCTCCTTTACCAACACCACTGTTCCGACCTTTAATGTAGGACCTTTGCTGGACAATCATTTCTTACGGGTTTGCAATTAGGACAAATATTCCTGATTCCACCGTTGCCAGTGTAATTGGGTCAACTGAGTGACGCGCTGCAATCGTTTCAAACGATTGTCCGGTACCTTGGACAAATCAGGTTCGGGTAACGAGCACATGGGCTCGCCAATTAAAAAATGCGCCGGTGTTAGTGGGGTCATATCAGCAGGATCAGAGGAACAAGGAGTTAAAGGTCGGGAGTTTAGGACAGCCTCGATTCTTATCAATATAGTATTTAGCTCGTCGTAAGTCAAATGGGCTGTGCCCAGCACCCGATATAAATGGGTTTTAATGGATTTAATAGATGCCTCCGATAAACCCCTAAAATGAGGCGAACGGGGAGGTATAAAATGCCACCTAATACCATCTGTGGCTAAAGCACTATATATTTGGTTTGTATGCTCATTGGACAGGAATAATTTATATAACGCTTGTAATTTAATATTAACCCCGACAAAATTAGTAACATTATCACTGTAAATATCGGTACATAGATACTCCATAGCGTCTAATAAAGCCTTTTTATAAGAAGGAAAATACTTATTTTTGAGAGCTTACAAACCAAAATAATTTCTTGATAAAAAAATTAAACATAATATGTATATGTACTTACAAATGAAAATTAAAAATAACAATTTATTTTAAAATGAAATGAACCTTTTTTATACAAAATATATAAAAAAATGTATAGAGTTTATTGATCATAATCTTCTCCATACTGTATTCAATTTTTTCTTGATATTTGTTAGTTGTTGTCTACTTCTGGTAAACCTATAGGAACTGGGTGATTATACAATGTATAATATAAAATGTATAATATACATCGTAAATGCTGATTGAGATTACTGTGTACTTGGAGATGATGAATATATTTTGGGTGTTGAATCATTATTAATACCATGATTTTCAAATTCCAAATTATTAACAATGTTAAAAATGTCCTTTTTTGCTTTAATTTTTAAGCTAGTAGAAAAAGTTTTCACTGTTGATGCCATACTCTTGAAAAAAGTATCAATTGGGTCATCCTCCTCAGCTTGATTAATAATTTCAAAAAAAAATTTTCTCTTTTTACTCCCTTGTGTTAATACAGAGATCCATTCTTCATTCTGTTTTTGTTTTTTAGGGGGCCATTTTTCAGTGGTACGTTTTCTTTTTTCGAGTACTGAATTAATATCTTCTATATTATCTTCTATGGGACCCACATAGCCTTGTGATGTAGATGGAATTATTGATAGTGTATTATTCAATTCTTGAACCTCTGCATCTTCTAAAATATGATTACTTTCATTTCACTAGCATACTCATTTGTGTGGGGTTGAATACTGGACATACATCTACGGAACAATTATTTAAAAATAATGTATACTGGAGTTCTTTTCATCAAATAAATACTTACTTGTACAACAATTTTTTAAGTGATTTAAGAAAAAAATACTTACACTTGTTCATAAAAAACAACATCTAGAAATGATAGTACATCTGTTAATGCTCACTTTGTTGGTTTGTCAAATGGTAATGACATCGGGAGAATTTGGTATAAAGTTAATTCGTCACGTGAACAATTTTCTGTATTCAGTAGATCAGAATGTGGAGTAAATCTATTTTCTAGATTGGAGGTAAATAAATTTGCCTTTTCTAGTTGAGACTTCGCTTGAGTATTATCTGGATTAAGTAAGAGAGGTATTAGAATTTTTTGTTTAAGTATATTTTTCGCTGCTTTCCATATAGAGTTATTGGATGAGGAGAGAAAGTTTAAGTATTTTTGATAATTATCTAAGTTAAATTTTCGCAGTGTTGTTGAGAGAAAATACAAGATTGTTGTAGATTTTTTTGTCATTAGATAGATAATTATATGTTCTTTGCCATTTAGAGCAAGCACGTTTTTTTCGATGATCAATTGAGAGATATGATGAGGAGTTAGTTAGAAAATTTTTTTGTGTTTAAATATGTTGTAGATTAGTTAAAGTACTACTTTTTGGATTTTCGTTGTTATGGATAGTACAGCCGAGTCGATGTCTGATGTAAACTTGAGTTGTTTTGGAAATGTTTTGGAATCTAGGCCATATAGTGTTTCCTGGACTGATAGAGGGATATCATTTAAATTTAATTGATAAGTCATTTACTGATTCATTAACTGGTTGTTACCAAGAGTCGAAATGTATTGGTTAAAGTTTGTAATATTTATTTTTGAACGGGGTGGACAGTAGACTGATAAAATTTTAGTTGGGATATTGTTTAAAATTAAACGTATATTTGTGGCTAAAAAGTTTTCATTTTGATATGAAGGAAGGAAAGAGTATTTAATGTTAGTTTTTATAAGTATTGCAGAACTGGCATGAGGAGTCAAGATGATTACATTGATATATTATAAAGCCAAGGATTTTTCAGTGGCAGTTGTTTGTTAAGTGGGCTTCACTTAAGAGTATATGTAAATAATTAATTGTTAGAAATGCTCGAAGTTCTTGTTTTTTATGTATTAATCAGTTTGCATTCCATAGATGGATTGATATTGGGTGATGAATGTTATATTGTCTATTTAATATTAGAGCTTAGGAGTTTATCTATGACAATCGTTAAAAGAGAGATTTATGGGCTTATTAATATATTAAATTCACCGAGAAAGGAAGAAAGTTTTATTGATATAATATCCAAGTCTTTCGAGGAAGGGCTAGGTGAGATATATTTTGGGTTTACGTTTGCTATTTGGGCATAATATTTAGATAGGTATGAATTTGATTTGAAGTAATATCACGTTTAACAGAATATTGGGAAATGTTTTTTTGGACTTCGTAGATCTTTTTTAACGAATTCTGCACTGAAATTTTTTGTGAACTGGACATCCTCTATAGTTTGCGAAATGGCTATTTTCACAGCGTGCGCATTTTGCTGGAAGATTCGTAGCTTTTTGACAGCTAGTATACATTTTCTCCACATCAGACACATTTGGGGGGATGATTACAATTGGATTTTGTGTGACCAAACCCTTGGCAACAGACATTATATTTTTTGTTTATTTATATGGGGCTCTTAAATTTAAAAGTTTGTATAGTGTAAGAATTTAATTAAAAAAATGTCCTTGTTATTAAGAGTAGGCTCCAAATCAATAAAAAATATAGATAGAGAAGTTTAGTTTTACGTTGAAGAATGTTAGTTATGTTTTTGGAAGTATGCTCAAGTGAGATTAACTCATTTTTTATTTCCTCTAACGAGGCAGCGTAATTACTACGCGGATACGCCCTTTCTTCTTTTAGCTGAGTATGGAAATCTACTTTGTTGTATTGTAAGAATTTTATGTCGGAGCGATAAGATTCAGGTGACTGAGTAGAGAGTTCTACACAATTTATTGAGTTTTTGCAAGTGAACTGTTCTTCTTTGGTTATTTCTTTAATATTAACTCAAAATTAATTGAAATTAGTTACTGCGAGAATATATATTTACGGTGGAAATTTTTTTGCGATAATCGCAGTTTCAGTGTGATCGGTTTCTAATTCCATATCGTTGGCTTGATTACATTCAGAATCATTAATAGTTTCGAACTCATTTGAGATCAATGAGGAACTATGTTGTTTTTGTATTGGTTAACAGCATTAAGTGATTTGTATGGGGAATGAATACCCTTATTCATTGACGTATATATATTTCAACGTTTCATTTCAATCGCAGGTCGGATCAGTATCAATGATAATTGAGAAGGCAATTCTTTCAGCAGAGAAATATTCATTATTCATAAAAATTAGTGATGGGAATAATCGAATGATATAATCTAATCAATTCGATTATTTTAAAAATCATTCGAATGATAAAATAATCGAATGAATCATTCGAATAATAAAATAATGAAATAATCGAATGAAATAATTGTTCGAATAAAATCATACGAATGAAACATTTTCTTATCTCAATTTTATTACTTTTATCATACACAATCAATATGATTAATCGAAACCATTCGAATCAATTCGATTTAAAAACGATTTGATTAATCATAATTCATAATTATGAACATATATAAATACATAGTAAAATCATATCAAATATATAATCATTAATTACTTACTTAAATATTATTATGGGTATTATTATAATATTTACAAAATATACAATTTTTCTGAATTAATTATATTCATCTCTAAATTGTGTTATTGAAAATTGTATCGTCTGTTACTTAAAATATGTTTATATAATGAAAAAGAACGTTCAACGTCGATACTTGTTATCGTTGCATATTTAAAATAGTTTAAAAAATTGGGTGATATATCTAAATAAACATTTTGATTTCCTGTCATAATCTCAGAGTAAGTTTTAGTAGTTTTATATCCTTCATTTTTTTCTAAGATATATTTTAATTTATCTTTAACTGTTTTTCCATTGGGACCGGGAATACCTATTTATAGAAATATTTATACTAAATATTTTTATTTAGTTAGTATTTGTTTAGTATTTATTTATTTATTTAGTATTTATACTAAATATGTTTAAACTATTAAGTAATTAACTATTTGATTCTTCTAAACTTGTGAGTTTTATGGATAACTCAGATAAATATAATTTTAAAAATCCTAAACGACATTTAACTACATGAGATTTACGTCGTAGTTATATTGTTTTTATAAAATCACTTTGGAAATAATAATTTGTATATTTTATCACGTGAAGTATACAAAAATTGCAATAATTGCAAAAAATTGCAAAATCGTTGAAAATTGGAAAAAATTGTATTATTAAATAGGAAGACTGTAATTAATCTGATTCGTATACATAGTTGATCAGATTTGATTTACTGGGTATCAATAAAACGTTGCAGTATCAATTAAATCCGCTCTTTATTCTTAATCATAAACATTAATAACACATGGATGATGGTATTTACTTAGGTGTACATTTATAGCATTTTTTATATTAGCTCCGTTGTCTGAGACTATAGTCACTATTTTATCTTTAATGTCCCACTCATTTAAAATACCTGAAAACAAATTACCTATGTTTACGCCAATATGAGATTCGCGCATTTCTACTACTCGCAATTACTGTAGTCATAAATTCAATGCATCATATTGTAAGACATAAATTATAACTAATATTACTATATCAGTCAATAGTTGGAACTTCCGACTAACAGATTCGGAAGCTATAAATATTTTTGACTGTTGTATTATACAACTGTGATGGGAATAATCGAATAAAATAATCATTCGAATGAAACATTCGTATGATAAATATGTCATGATAAAAATCATTCAAATGATAAAATAATCGAATAAGACATTCGAATGATAAAATTAGTAATAAAAATCAGGTTAGTAAATATGGGTTATATGTATATGGTTGGCACTTGGTACTACTAATTTAGACTTTAGTATTATACTATTATTATTATTATTATTATTATTATTATTATTCGATTATTTTATTATAAATTATTTAGAATAATAATATACCACCACTAAATCAGTAGCACTAACTAATAGTTCAATTAGTTAGTAACTATAATTATTGGAATAATAAAATAATCTTATAGACTTTCTGTCCAAATTAAGGAATTTATAATTTATTTTTATAGATAAAAACAATTATAGGTAAATACACTTCAACTGAGTATTACCTAATTGTATTATTATTTATTGATAGGTATTAGCCATTAGGTACACTAAATACTATACCAATGAGTAATGACTATTGACAATATTTATAAAACCAATTACCATAAAGTAGTCAGTAGTATACGGGTAGTGACTACTGAGATAAAAAAGCATTCGATTATTGTATCATTCGAGTGAAAAATTCATTCGAATTATTTATTCGAATGATTCATTCGATTATAAAATTTATCGATTACTAATCATTCGATTATTCCCATCACTAATAAAAATGGTAAAATCATTTAAATAATTATTTAATTTATTTTATATTTTGTGGTATAATAATATTATGTGATTACTGAAAGCGTTATCATTTTTTCAATTTATCACTGTGATAATACTCATAAACTACTCTATGATAATACCACCAAAGATACCTATATAAAAATATTTTCATTTTCATATAATCTGTGATATTATCTACAATTTATGTTTTTTTGTTGGAGCGCCTTTTTTTTTATAAACTCTTGTGCCCATGCCGTTATTTTAGTAGTTTAATTTTTAATATATTTAATATATTTAATTGATTTGATATTCGAGTAAGATTACGAATCCGATTTCTCTTATTAATACGTAAAGTTTTTGCTGTTTGTTATTATTCTGTTTAAATTTTATTAATAAATTAGTATTTACATATGAGCTTACTAGTGTGAAACTTTGCACTAATGATAGATATTTAGTATTATTGACTGAGAAAATTTTAACAAATCGGTTTAAATAAATACTGCTTAATATTGCATTTTGAAATGTCAAAGAGAAATAATATTGCATATATCAAGCCACGAGAACCATCTTTTCTGACAAAATTAAAACAAGAAGCCAACTATAAAGAAGGGCCGACAGTTGATTCCAAAGTAAGTTTATTGTTTTGTTATAGAAACTCAAGTTATTGATTCAAATTGAATATTTTTTTAATGCCTGAATCAATAGTAATAATTTATTGTAATAATGTAATATTATTTTTTTAAATAAAAATAATTTTTACATATTTAGAGAAGCAATCTACCAACTTACGAAGAAGATGAATCATATGATGATGACAATCCTACTGTGGTGGTCTTAAATGAAGGTGATCTAACTTCTGATGAAGCATTAAAAGAGAAATTAGCAAAAGAACAAGGTATAAGAATGATTGAAAATGTAGATTCATATTATGTAATATTTATGTACTCTTGTACTTATCAAGTTATATTTTTCTTTTAATTATTTTAAATTGTAGGATTAGAGAAACAAATTCAATTAATGTACGAATATTTTTAATTTTTTTTATTCAGAAGATAACAACTCACCAGCAGATTTATCTAAGCGCATAATCTTTAAGCGTCCAGCTAAAAGCACTCCACAATCAGAAGAAAAACATAGAGTAAATAAAAAAAAGAAGCGAACTGAAAAACTAGTCTTATCATTTGATGATGAAGAAGAATATTCTTAAATAGGTTAATATTTATTAATTTATATTTTAAAAATAGTTTTCATTGACTTATTGAATCAAATATTTATAAATAATTGATCTTAATAATGAGATAGGTACATTTAATAAGAAAAACAACAATTTTTTTGTGTTATTATTCATGCTATATTCATACTATTATTTTCTTATTATTATTAATACTTTTATTGTCTTATAGTATTTGTTTGTTCAACATTTTTATTATGAAGTATCCATAAATGTGAAATGTGTTAATATAGTTCTTCATAAGGAAATAAAATTATTTGAATTTACTTGATAAATATTTTGCTAAATTTAGTTAAGTTAGTTTTTAGTGTATTAATTGATTATTTAAATAGCATTAAATTCTAAATAGATTGAGGAATTAATGTGTTTTACAATTATATTTTAACCCGCACTCTGTATATATATTTAGATGGTATGGAGAATTATATTTATATATATTTTAAATAAAGATAAATTGTATCATAAGAATTTAATTAATTAATTATACTCCAAATATATAGCCAACAAAACATGGTAAAAAAAAAAAATGTAATATAATATTGAAAAACAATTTAAAAAGTCTATTTTTTTTTTTTTTGTGTACAGTTAATTTAAATTTTAAATCGATTATTAAACTTATTATTCTTTTCACTTTTTTTTTTATAAAATTATATGTATTATTTTATTCCTTTAAAAACTTTTCTATGTATCTAACTTGATTTTTATTACAATTTAAATTCTTCATTTTGTAAATTAAATTAATTTAGGATGGTTTTTATGAATAAAATGTTTATTTTTTAAATCGTATCATTACATTATACAACTATTATTTTTTGTATATGTTTGTGCGATAATAAAAGATTACTTACTTTTATATTCAGTATTAATTTTATTTTGTACACTTTAAGTATTTAATTTTTTTTTTTTTTTTTTGTTTTAATTTGCCTTTGTTCGCACATTACAGCAAAGCGATTATATAACGAAAATAATAAAGGTATTAATTAGTGAATAATAATAATATTAACAATCTTACTAATAAAATATATGTATAACAATTTAATTAGATTGAGAAGCCAGCGGAATAAATGAAATTAATGATAGAGTGGATAACAGGTATGGAACGGGAATTAAGTAGAAGATTGGCGTCGGGAGTGATATAACCAAAAGAAGATAAGAGTGAGAAAAGGAGAAGTCGGTTGGGAAAAGTATTTAATAAAACTTAATTATAGAAAAAAAGCTAAACTGTATATACATCTATAACTAATATCTTTTTTGCTTTTTGTTGTTTTTATTTTGGAAATTATCTTTATCAATGTTAAATAAGATTATTGACATTATGCAATAGTTATTAACAAAGCAGAAATCAATAAATTCACAATATAAAACATGAATTAATATTATATCTGATATTTTCACAAATTCATTGATGGCCATACAATTGAAGCACAATATAAAATATCTATTCTGTAATAATTAATTAAATGATTAAAGAGTCAAATATAATTTATATATAAATGTTAAATTTTAATTTATAAATATTTTTACTGACAACAAATTAAATTCAGTGAATTTATAGAAATACAGAAATTATAAAATGGAATTATAAATTATGACTACCTATATTATTAATTAATACTCAAGTGAGAATAATAGAGTACTAATTAAATAATTTAGATCAATAATTATTGTCCATGAGTATAAAACAAATACAAACGATCAGTTAATATTGCTGCCTTACCATTTGATAAGTCCAATTCATGCTTTATGCTCGTTAGCTACTTCTGATTTCTTGGATGTTATTTTAAGTCTACCAGTTAATAGATTACATTCAAGATCCATTGAAAAGTGAATTATTTGTAGAAAATTTATTTTTAACCAAGAAAAAGATATCATTGTACATGTTGATAAATATTTACCAGTGCAAAAGAAAATTGCAGGACTTAGGAAATGCAGAATGACATGCTATGAATCGCTATATATATATAAAATGTTACCAACCTTGTAAACTCACCATTAAAATTATGAATATTTTTCTACCAGATATTCAAACAATTGGGATGTAAAAACTTATAGAACAACACTTAAAAGAAGAAATATGTCTTTAAACTAACTTCAATCAAATGATTGTGAAAACTGTTAAATACTTAGGATATATATAGCTAACATACATATACATATATATAGCTAACAACCCAGAATCAAATTTAGCTTTAGCCTTACAAAGAATTAAATCCAACAAAGCTAATATTGAGTATAAAAAGGATTCACAGGAACAGGAATCAGGTTAAATAAGATATTTTTCTATGGATCTCCAAAAGCTATTTCTTATCACATGTATGCCCAATATTAAATTGTCATATTTCCTTAGTAAACTAGCGGTTTTCAAGAAAACTTTTGCTATTATAAAAAAAAAAAAAAAAAGGAAGTACACTTAATAGTTTCTCTAATTATGTGATATGAAGCTCTTAATGGTAGAAAAGCTAAATGTATAACTGATTCAATAATTACAATTATTAATCATGAACGAGATGTGTCAAAGTTTGTATTTTGGGATTTTCAGTGCAAGGATAGAAGAGTGTTGTTTTCTATTACTAATTTAATTGTACATAATATTTGCAAGCATGGGCGCCGCGTGAAGGATGCAAGGGGTGCACTTGCAACCCTCCTGGATTTAAAAAAATAATAATACAATTTAAAAATTTAGGATAGAAGCTATTATTACTATTGTCGAATTTTCTAGTAGCCTGCATTACTTTGTAGCCGTTGAAAAAAACCAAAATAATTTTGTATTGTCGTATAATTTGAAAACATATTTAATTTAAATAATTTAAGCATTATTTAGAAATCAGCGTACATACTATATATGATTGATGCACCCCCCTGACCAAATTCCTAGTGGCGCCTATGTATGTCAGTGTTTTAGATAATTTAATTCGTCATTTTGGCTACGTTAGACGATTTGGCACACCTCGAGTTTACCAATTATAATATCTTATATATCTATTCTAATGTCCTATAAACGCAATACAGTGAACTACATCGTTTAAAATCATTATGAATATACAGAGCAGTGTCAAACATTTCAGCATCCCAGGGTAAAATTTATTCTTTGGGGCCACTGGGCACAGGTAGCATATTAAGTACAGATAAGGGCGCCCCATTACTTTTATAAAACTATGGCGCCCGGAAGAAATTTCCCCCTTTGACCCCCCCTCCTCCTTAAAAAGACTCTGTGAATGCATATCAATTAATTAATACTCATTTATTTAAATTGTATATTCTTGTACAATTTATAAAAAAAAGCGAATCAATCGTTTATAGGATTCAAATTCGTTTCATATTACATACCTATTTAAGTTATTATATATTTCGATTATTTCACTTACCTGTCATCAGGGCCGACTCAGACCGGTTTTCTCGGGTTATTTGTCGGGGGCCCGACCCTATACCTATTTTTGAGGGGCCCGGGCTTATAAAAAAACCACTTTTAAATTATGACTGGCCTGGACCTACAAAAAATTTAAATTTTAACGGGCCCCTGCTGGAGCTTAGGTATCGACCAATGGGCACTACCACTTTTTTGAATATTTATTCATATATTAATACTGTATAGCCGTGTATTATTGCAATGATAAATGATAATTGCAAATAATTTGATACATCGAAAACATTCGAAACAACTCAATTATTTGAAAACCATTTAAAGCAACCAAATACTTATATTCTACTTTAATCTTATCAAGAAATGTATTTTATGTCATTTTGGATGAAGTAATTGCAGATATAAACAAACGATTTGAATCTCTGAAAACAGTTATTGATATCTTCTCAATTCTTTGGGAGTTTAAATATATGACAGAAGTAGAAATTAAATTAAAATCTAGAAATTTGGTTTTGAAGTATAATGATGATTTACAAGAAGATTTAGTAGATGAGCTACAAAGTCTTAACATAGTTTATGCTACTAACTTTGGACATAAACAACTAAGTCCCTTAGAATTGCTGAATCACTTGCAAAAAACTTATTTTTCAAACATGTTGCCTAATTTATGTATTGCATTACGAATCTATCTCTGCAACTGTTGCGAGTACGGTACGATATTTCTCAACATTGAAGAAAGTGAAGAGAGTATTACGATTACACAACAGATTCTCAAACTTAGGTGTTTTAGCAGTGGAGGCTCAACTGGCAAAGACGATTGACATGAATGGGGTCATTGATGATTTCGCAGTGAGAAACGCAAGAAAAACCCTAGGACTATTTTAAATTTAGGGTATTAATTATATAAGTTATGGTTATTAATATTACGATTAATATTATTATGTCGTTTTATATATTATCATTTATGTATTTGAGTATTTAAATTTTTTTTGAAAAAGTTTCAACATTGTTTAGATAAGAATAAAACATATTAAAATAGCAGGGTTACAATAATATTTGATGTTAAAATAATTTAATCATTAGTTTTATATATAATTAGAAAAATGTTCTCTACGAAAAAACCAGGAAAACTCCTTAGAAAAATAGGAAGCCCAGAAGGTTTAGTTTGTCCGGGGCCCGCCAAAGCAGAGTGCGGCCCTGCTTATCACACTTATATTTTATCGTATTCAATTTTTATGTGCTCGTGTTACTGCTTATATTTGTATGCGTTTTAACTAAGTTTAAAACTATTAATACTTTTTTAAATTTTCAGCGAGTTACATTTTATTTGAGAACAATTGAAATCAATTTTAATTCAAAATACTTTTAATCTTATGTAGGTTTTATTCGGGTAATTGTAAGCAACGCCCGAATTATTATTAGATGTAATGTATTTTTTTAAACACCTAATATTAATAGTATACAATAAAACTCTTTTGGCCTATTTCACGGGCTTACGGATCACGATATAACGCACGTCCAAATAGTTTTTATTTCTATAGAACTCGAGCCCCTGAATATTATTAATTAACAATTAATAATTTTGTTCAAGGTCAAACACTCGTCAAACTGCAGCAGCCGGTCTCAACAGTACGCACGATACAATGTTCCAGGCGAAACATAATCAGTACCATAACTGTGCGCACATACGACGTTTTTGTTTTTCCATCAAATCGTGCGGTTTTCGCGATAACGCCGGCACGGATGTTTGGGTACGCGCGCGACGTGGCCCGTCGTCGTGGTGTCGGCGCGCGTCCCTGGCACGTACGTAGACTCGCACACGTTTGATAGCACAACGATAATAATAATAATAAAACAAATTTGTTTCGCATTGCAATTTGGCAATAAACGAGGTTACCGCCGCTGCTGCTGCTGGTGCCTCGGTCGGCTTGCAGATATAAAAATAAACGGCACGTCGCTACTGGGGCCGTATTATGCATGTAGTATTATATTATTATTATTATTACTATTATTATTATTGTTATTACCATCATCATCATCATCATCATCGTCGTCGTCGTCATCGTCATGTCGCGTACCTATTATACTGCTGCACCGGTCGCGGTTGGTGTTGAGATGTAGCGTTGCGCATAGCAAGGCATAGCAACTGCACACCGATCGCGCGCTCAATCATGACGTCGATTAACACGCGCAGGTCCTCGGTCACGTTGATCCGCTGCTGCCGTTACCTGCCCGTCGTCGTCTTCGTCGTCGTGGCTGTCGCGGCCGCGGCACCGCGGTCTGACCACGAAGAATTAGCGAGACCGACTGTCGACCACTCCGTTCGTCACCCGACCGCCGGTGATCACGTACCCGGGCGATCGCAACCCGGCGGCGTTCAGCGGACACGCCAGGACGTCCGCGACCCTCAGTCGTCCTCACCAGCCGGATACGTTCATTCCAACGCTACCACCGAGGAATACGTTCATTCCAACGCTACCACCGAGGAATACGTTCATTCCAACGCTACCACCGAGGAATACATTCATTCCAACGCTACCACCGAGGAACCCGTTTCCACTACGGTTACCGCCGATTCGTCTACGACGCCCGATCCGGCTACGGTGACCGATCCCATTATGGTGACCGATCCGACTACGGTGACCGATCCGACTTCGGTGACCGATTCGACTACGGTGTCCGCCGATTCGTCTACGGTGTCCGATCCGTTCGCGGTACTCGACTCGACTGCGGTACCGATTATAGCGGCTACTACCGAATCCGACATGTCGTTGCAGATCCCCAGTCCGCCGGGTCGTCACGACACACCGACCGCCATTTCAACCACGCCAATGCCGTCGTCCGTGTCTTCCGCCGCTTCGTGTCGGACGGTTTTTCTGATACACTTCGCCGCCGTCTCCGCGGCTTCGTTGCTCACGGCGTAGACAAACACGCGCTGTTCGTCTGCTGCATCGTGTTCGCACCGCCCAAGTAAGCCTCGCCAAACGCGTCCGGTTTTCTCTACGCAACGTTTATCTCCCCTGACGTGTAATTGCTTCCCTCCGAATTCAAATATTGTCTGTGTCGACGTACATCCATAACGTGGCCAACATCGTTTCCGCGATGGCTTCACGGGTGACCTCCGATGACATTTCTGTCTCTTCGTCGTAAATACGTTTTCATTGGTTTCTTCTATTTTCACAAATCAGACAACCAATACCATCTGATCAATCGTTTTACGTGTACTTATAGTACATTATATTCTATTTAAAATGTATTACCTTGTAATTTTTCAATATTTTTTTTTTTTTTTACTGCGTTATTATTCTATGCTTTCTAATACATATACAAATATGGCATCATTCAAGATGATATATTGTAAAAAATTAATTTATGAATTATTTCAATGTAAAATAGTTGTTGTTGAAATAGTTGTTACATCAAATGAGCAGTAGTTATCGTGGTGTCTAGTTTACGAGTATTGTTCTTTTTACTTTTTTTTTATGATTTACTAAATTTTGCAATTAGTTTTATTAAAATTGAAAATTAAATAAATATAAAAGTTATATTGTACTATTCTGTTCTATTTTATATTTATATTAAATAATATATTTGATTTCCCATCAAAGTGAAAATGTACAGGGGTTATTTTATAATCTCTAGCCAAACGTATTAAAAATCATTTTGTTCGTTTGAATTTCTTTAGTTTATATTAACTGTTTTTCTCCAAACTTTTATGTACACCCACGTATGAATTATGTGAGTTATAAAAGTGTTCAAAAAAATAGATTTTTTACATAAACATTGGTTACCGCGTTAATTATTGTTAACTAATAATTTACATTATGTTAGAGATAAATTATTTTATATTATATAATTTGTATAAAATATATTATTAAAGTCATTATTAAGTGTCTTGTGAATCAATATAAAATTTTTAAATAAGTAATCAATTAATTTTTAAGTTTACAAATAAAGAAAATAATAATTATTTTATTAAAAAAAAGAAGGTAAAATTCTTAATCTATAATCATATAATATAATACAATAAAAATATTATATTAATATACGATGAAAAGAAACTTTTCGACATTTTAATTCAAGAAACACTAGTTATAAATCTTTCTTCTAGTCTTTGGTATTTTCATACGGATTACGTGACATACTAAAAGCATAAATTAAACTTGTATTATTAAGTTCAGAATATTTTTTTGATGTTAATCTTGAGAAAAAAGACGTCTGATGCTCTATACATAAATAATATCGCAAAACTTGTAATTAAATTATAAGGAAAAATGTGTACGGGTAATACTGATGAATGTTAAATATATACTCGTATAATGTAGCAGTATAAAGTATAGTAAAATTATGACTTTCATATAGAGTAATACGTTCATAATTTATACAATAGATAAATTCTTATAAATTCTATATGAGTTAATATTATAATATAATATATTACTGCCATATATATAATATAGTACTGTTTAGTACTGGGACTAAAATGTTTCATTCGTCCGTTGGCCTCGTATTGAAAATGACTATTATTATAATCTAATATAGGAATAACAATTTAAAAATACATATACTTTTAAAGTTTTTCAATCAAAAATCTACATTTCATTTAAATACATTTTTATTATTTTGAGTTCTATTAAATGTTCATACTCAATAAAATTTTTGATCTGATAAAAATTTATTTGATTGAATTTTTTATTTCTTACGTGACACGTAAATAAGTATTTATTTAGTATTATTCGATGTAAAAAGTATAATTATTTATGCTATCCATGATTCGTTTGAGGAAATAATGTTTTTATAGTATAACATAAATATTTGCCATACTTATAGCTAGTTTTATTTAATTTTTCATCACATGCGTAAATTTGGTAGGTCACCTTATACATTACGCGAATGCCAAATTCCAAGCTATTTACATTTCATTTACAGGTTATCATAAAATTGTTATTTAAAAAAGTAGATAACACTATTATGTTTTCATTTAAAAAATAAACCGATCTCACTACAGTGGCATATTTACGGGGGAGGGGGGTCCCTGGTTCAAACCCCCCTTAACAAAAATAAAAAAAGAAAAGAAATACATAATGTTAAATCAACGTTTTATTACAAAAGTAATTGAAGAACTGGTGAAAAAGAAAACACGATTAACTTTTTAAATTTAAAATTTGAAATGAAGAAAAATGTAAGCTAGAAGATGACATTGTAATAAATTACTTTATTTGACAAAATATTATACTGATATTCTAATATATGTAATTAAACTAAAAATTAATTTTACTAAAATTGTGAATTTTTTTTCAGTTATAAAATATTATTTTTTATATTTATTTTATTTTTTTATTTCTTGTTTCAAAGTAGGATGAAATAAATAAGTTTTATCATATGACTTTTAAAAATCTTAAAAACCCCCTAAGAAATTATTGAAAATATGCCACTGGCTCACTAGAAAATAATATTTAAATTTAACTTTATACGTGCATATTTTTTTAAATTTAATTTATCATAATTATAATATAAGTAAATTATTGAACACTTTTTGTATAAACCACTTTATCTAGAGAAACTCAGGAAACACAATTGCCTTGTATAGAAAATGGAATTACACAATTATCATTAAATAATCGGGTTGAGAATGGAATTCAGCAGTCATATCGGGTTTCAAGATTTATATCGCATGTTTACATTTGAAGAGTTTTCTGAAGGTTAGTTATTGTTTATATAAGCATTGCGATGTCACTGTGTTATCAGTGTTATCGCTAAACGAATGTTCTAACTGTGCAAATAGTAATGTGAAAATACAAGTTCTCGTCCGACATAATTATAATATTCAAAAATAATATTCGAATGATCCAACAAGTCTACATAACTTTTAATTTAATAATCGCTAACTATTATACATGGAGAAAATATTTTCTATAATTAGTCAGCTTATCACAATAATGAACCGGATTGATCTTATCATTTTTTAATAATTATACGTAATGGCATAACTAAGATGGATCAGAGAGTACGGTCACATAGGGGCCCGAAGTAATACAATTTTTTTTCGAGTATGGTTAAATGTACTTATTTTAGACGAATTGCTGTTGGATTAAAAAAAGATTATGGTCGAACTTCACATGGGCTAAAAAAAGGAATTTCAACAAAAATATCATTTCATGAGGTTAAATATTAAGAAAACACTAATTTCCCTTACTACTTATAGGCTTAGGACTCACAATATTTTAATTATTAATTTGGTAAGAAATGATAACCTATTTTATTCATACCATCATATTAATTTAAATTATAAATAAATATTAAATAATAAAATGTAATTTACATTTAAAAACATAAAGTGTTGAAAGTATAACGGAATTTAAATTAGAGTTTAAAAAATCAATTTGTTCATTACATTTCAGTAGAGGTTAAACTATTGAATTATATTCATATTTAAGCATAGACCTAACTAAGGACACAAATAGAGTTTTAATTGTAATTTGGTTTTTAAAGCCTTTACTATTTCTAGTAATGAAGCCTAAATTAGAAGAATTATTATTGATAATATGTAATGATACAGCCAATGGATGGGGGAGGGGTGTAATTTCTCCCTTCTAACCATAGTTAACAAATATATTAATTTTCTACGAAATTTTTAATTGATCCATAAATGACCTAACAATTTAAATTGCTGATAACTTTTCAATATATTTTTTTAATGTTATATTAAAAGTATTCAAATGATTATTTCCTACCTGCACAGTATTTTAATCTTTTTTTTAACAATACATTTTCACATGACATTTTACATTTTTCATTAATTGATAAAATGTAATGTTATAATTTAAATTTTAATGAACTATAACTTCTATGCACTTTTATAATAATTGTTGAGTTAATTAAATCACATTTTTAGAAAGACTTTTGTATTTATTTATAACATTGGATTGTTAATCAATTACTTTCGAGTATATATTTCTATAAATTAAATTTTTAACTCATACGTTTACTGAAAAAATATCATAACATATCTTGAATGTTAAACAATAAAAAATATTGTGTAAATATTTAGTATTTATCTGGTCTGCAAATGTCAGGCACCTCGTCAGTGTTATTGTCACAATCGTCATGTCCATCGTGCGATGGTCATGATCACGACGATCACGTCTATGGTACACACTTGCAATTTCCACAAGTATGTTGCTGTAGAGTACATTCAACATGAGGTATTGGTTGTTTAGTACTACTTACTACCAATTGCTTGTCTGTTGAAACTGAAAAATTCATAACGTAATAATTATCAATCTCAAACATAAAATCATTTAGTTATGTTTTAGAAAATAAATTTGATTATTCAACGACAAGTTTAAATTTAAAAAAAAGATTCAAATAGGATTTATAGCAGTTATATAATTGATTTTTGAATTGGATATGTAAGCAATTTATTTTGTATGTTTGGTTACTTCGGAAAACATAAAACAATTTTGAGATAGTAAGTTCATGCGTGTTTCTATCAACGTTCGAAAATTTAAATATTAAGGGTGGTAAAGATATAGTTCAAGCATTGGTTGAAGTATTTCAGAATGGAGGAAAAAAATAAAATTAATGTTGCTCAAATGCTAGATAAGTATTTGAGCTTTTATCCAGACACAAAAAAATAATTTCTATAGAGTTATACTTCCTTAGCACCTCCTTACATGAACCTCTATTTAAATATTTAGCACATTAATTTTATACATTTGTATGCCAATTTACCAAACTTGTACGAATTTAGTTTTCGCATAACAAACAAAACACCAGGATGGTAGTGAAAAAACGTTTCCTCAGCACTCCTTGATGAAACCGATAGAAATAAAACGGTTTTTTCATAATTTAGTACAGAATTTCAAAGTTAGTATGCTTATTCACGATATTTATACTATCTCGCTTCTATGTCCAAATGGCGATTGCTGGATTGCTGTATATAGACATAACTTTTAACAAACTTTGTCATGTTTTAAATAAATATATAAGTGTTATAATGAGCAAATTATTTTGAAGGAGCTTCCAACTAGTATTTGTCTCCCGACCTTCTGAGACTTAAATCCGGCGCTGCATATTAAAACTACATTGGTTATTTAAATGGTTACAATTATTGTACATTAATTCATTACAATTGGTCGGTTCTTAAGGTCATTTAAAATTTAAAATATAGGTTGAAAAGTACATTTTTACAGATCAAAAAACCATTTTTTGATTGAGTTAAGTTGATAAGTTTCGTGACGACATTTGTGAACTCCGATAGGACTGAGACGTCGCAAGGGCATTTGAAAAAATCGGGATTCATTTATATTACATCAATAAATAAAGTATGGTGTTGACTAATATCTAATGATTATAGGTCATTTATCGTGTTATAAAAATACATTTTTTCTAATATTTGATATTTTTTTACTATCCATCAAATTTTTATCCTGGGTGAGGAAACCTTCCCGGAAAAATGCATAAAAGAAATACCGTTCTAAAATTTAGTAAAATTGTAAATTGTTTGATCTTCAGTTGCGATAGGCAAAAAATCTGCAAAAGCATTAGATACTTCGGTAAACGAAAGAAAAGCTAAACCAAATAAAAGATTTTGGTGCTTTCGTACGATACGATTATTTTTTTTCTTATATCATTTTGGCACTTATGTATTTTATTGCAAACTTGTAGGGAGCTTTGCGTTATATGAAAGTATCCGGTTCACTCATGTGACGACGGGTCGTTAAACTTCATGACGAGGCGAGCTTGCAAGAGTGTAAAAGAAGCATATCATTATGAATTGACAACATTGACCCATGGGTGGACTGAAGCCATAAAGAATCTGTTGGGTTTAAGTTAGTTTGTGATATAACTAATCTCACCTAATTAAGGACCAAACATAACATTTATGGAGGACCTGGATGGGATGGCCACCAGCCTTGCCAGTTATTATGAAAATGTATTTTATGAAAAACAGGCGCACTTTTATTATAATTACTAATCTCTAATATACTGTTTCGAAGATAACTTTTATTCTTTTAAAGGTTGAATGTTTTCAACTTCTTTCTGACGTATAATTCGTGTGTTACCAATCCGGGAGTTAAAGTTACAGGACACAGCTTATTTACTGCAGTGTTGATTGGTAACTACAACTACAGCTAGTGACCAATTAACTTAACCTAACTATTGGAACTTTGCACCTTTCCAAATATCACATGGTTGCTTTCGTCATAAATTCGTTTATTTATTTTGATTTCGTTTTATTATTCATTACATGTATCATGTATACCTATAACATGCAGTTGTTAATTATCGTTGTTAATTGATGTTTACACTTTCAACGAAGAAACCGATTAATAAAAAAAAGCATGTTAATAATTACAACCAATATACCAAATACACGGTGATCATTTTTTCGTACCATTAAAAATAGTAGATACTTCATTCATAATGTACTGCAAATTTGTTGATGTACAAAGATTCTGATAGTTCTAAATGTGTTGTTCAAAATACAGTATTATATAAAGTAGGTAGTGAAATATTCAAATGCACCCATTTATATACAAGGAAATAATTAACGTTATATATATTTTGCCGTTTTGGGTATTTATTGAATGTTTTCGTTGAAGATAATTACAGGCTTCCGGAACCATGGAATATACAAAAGGAACTTTAAGACACGCGTCATATTATAATTTAATGAATTGGTCTAATCGTGTGAAATCTGGGTGGATTACATGATATAAAACAATAAGACTGCCTACTCAAGTTTGAATACAAAAAAAAAAAAAAATAACAATACTAACTTGTCTCTACTATACAATAGGTTATACTGACATGTTTCAACGTTTGTTGTATTCATCAATTTATCACCTAACTTTGCATTATGTATATTATATATTTATATACAACCTTGTAGGGACAACTTAAAGTCTAATGTTGTTTTCCGTAATATTTAGTTTTATTACACACATTTTTGTCAAAATTCAAATAATTAATGGTGAAAAAAAGTTGTTTAAAATTTGTAAAACCATTTTTTGGTTTAAAAAATTAAATAATTTAACATAGCAATATTTTTGAATTCTGAAAATCAATTGAAATAATCAATTTAAATCTTAACTAAATAACATGGATAGTAAAACAGAAGAAATTATTTCTTATAAAAAAACAATTATTAAGCTTGAATAATTATGTAATCCTTATTATCATCGAATTCATTGTATACAAATCTATATAATCTATAACATATTTAACATTAAGAATCGTTTTATATTAATATATTTTAAAATTCTTTAAACAATATAGAAAAATAGGGTTATTATTCGTAGTTTTGGGCTAGAATACGATTGCGCAATTTTTCCTTTTTTGAACCGACTAATTACACCACGATTGTGCCCCGATCTCTTTTTAGCTGATAAAATCACAACACCATTGCGCACTAAATAATAATATGTGTATATACTATGTATAATAATTTATGTATAACATAAAATAATGTATACAAAACATACTTTCTACATTTAATTTTCATATACATGCACTCAAACTTATTACCTATTAATTCACAATTTTCCATCCCAATTATTACAGGCTTAGGGGTGTCAACAAATTATCATCGTTGGCTTGGTTAAAATTTTTTTTTTCTCTAAATTACATGTATGCTAAATGTATATACTGACATGGTTAACAGTCGAAATTTTTTTTATTAAAAATTGTTTTTTTTTTTCTTAACTAATAGTCATTAGTTGATATTATTACTAAAACTATCATTAGCTCAATTAACTTTTCATATCGATTTAGAAAAAGTGAATTTTGTGAATTAATAGTTTGAGTGCATGTATATGAAATTAGATGCATTGTATACAATATTTTATGTTGTACATAAATTATTATACATAGTATATACACATAATTTGGTGCGCAATTGTGTTGCGATTTTATCAGGTAAAAAGGGATCGGGGCGCAATCGTGTTACAAATTTTTTGCGTAATCGTGGTGTAATTAGTCGGGTCGAAAAAGGAAAAATTGCGCAATCGTGTTTTACCGATTGTATTGTAGTAGACACTATAATAAACTATTAAATATTTAGCCCTTTAGAATTAGGATCAATTCGTTCTAGCTTTTTCGAGTTCTAAGTATTTCTTCTTTTATATTACCATTTGTTTAATTTCTATTCAGTAAATAATTCATACTTCAGTTTGAATTATTCAGTTAATTTTACTTATACTTATCAAAAGTCAGTACCAGTTAATAATTGTATTCATACTAATTTAAAATGGCAGAAAGTTTGAAAATTATTGTACTTCATTGAAATCAGTTAAATAATACTATTACACAATTAGGTAAGTGAAAAAAACTAATTTCAAACTAAAACGATAATTATTAAAAATTTTTTATACACTTAAGGATAGTAGACCGATACGTAGTTTTATTTTTTAACGCTACTTTTGAATGGAAATTATTTAAAAAAAAACAGTTTTTGATATTTCTTAAAGGATCTATCTTAAAATTGTACTGTATTGTATTCCAGTGAGAAGATTATAATGCGCTTATGTTTTTACAATGTAAAATACAAGAAACCTAAGAGTTTATAAGTATAAAATTTATAAAGTGTCGTTTTCGTAGATTCTATATCTATGACACACCAGCACATGTCATAATAGAATTTTTTTAATTTTACCACGTAATTGTGAGTAAAATCTGAAACAGTTTCCAGTTGTGAAGCAATCTTCAACGGTCGCGTGCCGGCCAGTAGCTAGAGAGTACCTTTAAATATATTGAACACTTATATTGGTTTGATGACCCTATTGCTGGTCACTTTTGCATACACACGAAACACAGACGCACAAAATATCAGAAACAATATGTATATATATATATATATGTATATAGTATTTATGTACAATGTAATATTCGATTAACATTTGTCACGTGGATACATGACAATAGACGCAATAAATCCATTACAATGATTACGTGCAACGTCAGTTGCGGTCGTTATTTTTTAAAACGTTTGTGTTGCAGTAGCCGTCGTTATACTATTGCATCTGTGGTTGACGCTGAAAAAAAAACGTATGTATAAAAGTTATAGTAATTCATTTAAATATTTTTATTTCGTTAACAATCTATGTGGAAATCATAAACTTACTTGTAGGTGTCTGGAATTATTTTCCTTCGGCATATTTTTATCTCCAACGGACCTTGGCGCACTTTTTTGAAGCAGTTTATTGCTTGTGCATGCGTCATCCCGTTGACAGATTCGTCGTTTATACACAATATCTCATCACCTATAAACACATTTAATAGAATATATGAATGGTTATAGTAAAATATAATGTATCAATATATAGGGTCAAACTTTACGGAGTGTCTTTATGATTTTAAATTCCTCATATTTACTCTCGTTTATCTCTCTCACTGCATATACACAATGACGTTAGCATAATTTTCCCTATAGACTGTCAAAATAGTTGATCAAGGTTATACCAAGATTTACAAATAACAGTTCCAAATTTAAATACATATTTACATTTTACACGCGTAGATTTATAATTAAGTAACATTGATGTTTTTAAAAATACTAAATTTTAATCAGAAAGTATAGTTTTGTACCACCATTAGTTTAACGAATCGAATTTTTGTTTTAAATCTGTACAGTTTAAAATATGATTTAATATTAATTTAAGTTATATATTTATTTAAGAATTATTCGTCAGTGGCGGCACGATGTTTATATTCGAATGAAGCTGTTACTTGTACTTTTAGATAAATAAATATTGAATTTAATGGGTTCGAACCAAATAATGTATAATAATATTTTATGTCACATGTGCAAATTATATATTAAACTTTTCTGTCACACAACACCATCTACCCACCCCATTTTAGTCATGAAGCAGTTGCTTCAATAAAACCTGCTTCGTGCCGCCACTGGTTATCGCTAATATATGTTTTTCAATAATTCCGTAAGTCATAACCATAAGTATGCGCACATGGGCAGCAGGGTACTGGTTGTGTTCTTGCCGCCCCTGAACGGTTTAAATAGATTTATAAGGACTGAACAGTTCAAGTCGGGCTACCAAATAATGCACAATAAAAATTAAGTTGGTTATCCAAATAGTGTATTAAATTACCAAGGTAATTTTTTTGTGTTTAAATAGGTATATGCTATTAAAATATAACTGTAAATAATAACTAAGGAACGAATTTAAATGCTCTAAAAAACAAGAAAAATTCCTTAAAAAATACAATTTAATGCATTCATAGTAAATATTTTTTTTAAAAATTCACTAAAAAAGTACCTACTCTAAAAATTATTTTTAACATTGAAAATTTTTTTTGTTAGGTATGTGTAAACACTTATTCTTATTAATAATTCGTCTTTTTTTATCTATCATCTTGAAAATTATTTCCAAAAAATTAATATGCAATTAAGATAGATACATTTGTTACACGTTTACCTTGTGTTTCATATAAATTAAATACATTAATATATGAGCTTTAACTAAATTATTATCAAATTCTATACATTCTTAAATAAAAATGGCTTAAAACAAAAATTCACTAAATATGTTAAAAAATGTTGTAAAGAGTAAAAACGTCTTAAAAATGCAAAAAGATGCAAAATAACAATTACATTTTTTAATTCCTTGATATATGAAATTAACTTTATGCTTGTTTTCGAATGTTGAGCAATTAAAATCATGTATTACAATATTACCTTCTGTTAAAGATCCGTCTTCGGCGGCTTGGCCACTAGTGAAAATAGTTTTAACGAAAATACCCATTTCGCCTTTTGGTGAATCCGAGCCACCTACGATACTGAAACCTAATGATTTATGACCAGAACCCTTATAGAACGTCACAACCATGGATACGGTACTCATGCTCGGAGTTTGGGATTTCGACAAATGACTATTCATTTTGCTGGCTAAAACTCGATTAATCACTGATACGGCATTTTGTTTAGATTCGGCATTGTAACTGCGGTCATAAGTGATGAGCGAGTCCACGTGTTCGGATCTAGATAGTACGATGTCTACGTAATATTTGTTAGCTATCGAAAAACTGTGATTCAGTATTTTCTCTACATCGTACATGTCGGTAATACCACGTAATAATTTGCCATTGACGTTGATTATCTCATCGTTTACTCTAATCCTTCCGTCCCTGTAAAACGGTAAGTATAAATTGATTATCTGTTCGAGATTCGACGACCAAACAATAGTGATGTCATAACAATATAATTTAATAATTTCAACAATGTTTACCTGTACGCTATTTTCCCTGGCTCTAGTTTTATTACAATGAACCTAGTTTCGTTATTGTAGTTTGCCACTTGTTTGACGACCATTTTCAAATAAATACCGATGTCGTCTTCGTAACGAGATTTCAGCAGACGAATTATTTGCATACGGGATCGCAGCGTGTTGAGGTCAGCTGGCAACGAAGACAGGTCTGGTGTGCTAGACGGTGAACGGTTTTTGACGAACATTCGGCGGTGGAAATTAGGCGTGTCCTTCGACGTTCTATCCGATCGTATTCGATCGTTTATCTCGCGGTTTTTTTTATAGAACAGACACATGGATGGGACGTTGTAGTCCTTGTCACTGTGGCGTCTAGGAGGTGATGGCTCCAAGTGCTCCTCAAACTCGTTCAGACTGTCGGTGGTCAGCGATTTGGTGTCCCCAAACCCACTGTCTTCGTCGACCGCCTTCTGATGGTACGTGTCGAGCGTTCTGGGCCCGTCGCTATCGTATCCTGATTCATTGGATGAACTCAGGTTGCTAAATACACGTCGGTATTCCCTGTCATTGTCCATCTCTTTAAATAACTCTTCGGTAACGACTATCTCGTGGTGCGCGGGCCCACTCCTCTGCTTCACGCTGGCCCTCGCTAAATGGCTTATGACACTGCCACCGTTTTCTTCCGGTAGCACCGATAACCGGGACCTAAGGAACGCGTACGGGAAATTTGGTTTTTTCGTCCCCAATTTGGATATATTGTCGCAACTTCGCGTTTTCAGCGGCACGTAACCGGGTTCCGTTGGGGATTTAATTTCGCTAGAGTCATCCGTATTGTGCGAGTGAGACTCCCCTCGATCCAGGCAGTCGGCCGGGTCGTCGCCTTTCATGTACGACGTAGCTAAATGTGATGTCGACACACTTCTGTACAACTGACAATCGATTTGCTTTCTGGACTGTTGCAGTTTCTCCCGGAAACTGTTGCTATACAAACGCGAGTAACTCAGCATGCCGGTAGACCCGATGCGAGTGAAAAACCCTTTCAAAGTTGACGATTTGTCATTGGATGATGACGGTTGTCCTAGCGGCCACACGGCTTGTTTAGTTACGCTGTCCCTAGATGATAGGCTGTCCAAAGAATCCCGGGACTCGCTTCTCCTTAAAACCTCCAGCCGCTTTCCCATTTTCCTGCCCCAAGTAATTAATTCTGCAACGAATAATAAAATAAAAAATAATGTAATCACACATCAGGTTTTCCAAGATCCTTAATGTATAGAACAAACGTTTTATGGTAAGTAATTTAAAGGAGAGACAAATGGAAATACGGATTCTTCTTGTATATCACACTATGTATAATCAATTAACGAACGCATACTAATCGCCTTAAGATTTCTTACACGAGGCACGATGCAATATAGTGTATAACAATCGTGACCGGCAACAATTGCACTTGAGAAACCTATTTTTAATTTTCTTATAATTTTAGATCCTTTTATTCATAATGCTAAAGTCGTCTTATATCTACCACTCCTACCGAGATCAACCACTCGAATACCACTCAAGGTTGTCCGGTTTACGGTACGTCCAAAATTTCATTATCGTCCCAAGGACGTTAGCACAAGACAACGTTGCGCGTTTTTTTTAGCACGAGTATGCGCCTTCTTCTGGTATAATAAAAGGGTTAACGATTTGCCCTCAGGATAAAATTGTATTTAAACGAGTGTGATTTATTTATAAACTTCAGCTGTAGATATTACAGATGGTATGAATTAATTATCATCGTAAGAACTGTTTTTGATCGCTACTCAAATACATTGTCTGAAAATGTATGAGTTTGTTTGATTACACATAGTTTGTTTGTTTTCAGTAATTTTTTCTGTGTATATTATTGTTGTCTATGATAGCCATCGTAAGACTAGTTCTGGAGTTCACTTATTATGAAAACATATATCGATCAAATGTTTTATAATTGCGAAAAAATTATATTATACAGTGTACCGTTTTGATTATGTTTATAAGTTAGTAGGTTCACATGCGTTGAGTCAATGTTTTGTTAGTATACATTTTTATCCGTATTATTTGTAAATAATTATCGTTTGAAATACTAAATATATTTTATATTTTACCATTCTAAAATGAATCATAAGAAGTTTATTTATCTAGTTTACAATAATTTCTATTCAACAAATGTATTGTTGTAATTTTCTTAAAAATAATATTTACACATATACATATAAACCGATTTAAGATATATAATCTTAAATTATGTACATACACTTAAATTTTCAAGTTTAATTAGTAAATATTTTCTAAAAAGGCCTTAGGAATGTTTATTACGTAATAAATGATTTTAAAAAATTGACATTTGAATATTAGCTTTAAACACTGAAACATAAAAATTAATGATAAACTAAAAATAATTAGATTTATTATTTATCCTTTCCAAAAAAATGTTTTTCTACAAGAAAATTATTCAACTTTTTTTTGTCTTGTTTAAAAAAAATATATTTAAAATTACATTTTATAAAAACATGATCCAACGTTTAACGTAGTATGTATACATAAGTACATTGGTATAGGGGATTAACGGCCTTGGAAATTATAATTGAAACTATCGTTAGAATAAGTCAATACTTATTCAAGAATTATAAATACTTACTTTACTTTAGAATTATAAAGCGGATAGTGTAATGTTCATTTATTAAGAAAATAATTTAAAGCTAGTTTTTAACACAACCTCGATTTCAGTGTTGTACAAAAAATTTAGTTAAATAAAATCTAATTGCTGTATATTTTTGTGTTTTTTAAATATATATATCTACGCTTAAATTTGTTTTTAAATTGTCACTTTGGAATGTATAAAACGTTCAAAACAATTGTTCAAGTACTTGAATCAAGGAGGGTACGATCCGTAGAGTTACGAACAAGATTATCCAAGCGTACAAAGTATAAATATCTTTTATTTAAATAATATATTATGTATACATTTATAATGTAATATAACTTTAAAAATGCGTTGGATCAGAATGTGCAACAAAATCAGGTTCTTCAGTCATCCAGTCAGTCGAGTAGAATAACTCAATGATGTGTTTATGTATTTTAATAGTGACTGGATCATTGTAACATGAAAATATACATGTATATAGTTACAAAAACTACACGCATGTATCTACCTATTCATATTATACTTACGGACACATAATTACAAGAATTCGATGTAAATATACTATGTATTGACGAATTCGTATGGTTTTGTATTAAGATGTTACTGCACTTTTGAATACATAATTAGAGAGAGGCAAAATTAAGAATGTGTTTGTTCATTTGGAAGGTGGTTAAAATGCATGTTGTAATGAGAGGCACATGCGTTTTGGGCGGAGCTTTATACCATATGGTTTTAAAACGTATAATAATTGAACAGTGAGATTGCAAAACAACATAATCAAATAAGTAAGAAATTAATTATGGGGATGTGGTGAAATTTAACTCGCTCTTAGATTTGGCACTGTGGTTATGTAATTTGTATCGACCCTCTTCTACTAGTTTATTAAAATTTAATCGTTCAGAAATCAAATTCGATTTATACGGGAAAACTATTCGTTCATATTAGATATCGATAATATTTGTTTGTTTGTTTAAAAAAAAAAATAAATGTTCGAAGTGACTCGCAGATTTACACGAAATCTATGTCTTGAATATGACGAACATGTAGGCGCAATGCTTAGATGTGAAATGTGATGACGATGGGACCGGAAAGATTAAATCATCACGCATTCGTACGAGCGAGAGATGTGTATATGGTGTTCGCACGTTTACGCGTACAATGTGTAAAATTAATGGCGATCAAAAAGCAACGAGAGAATATTTTTTAATCGAGACATTTTGAAATATGCTGATAAATATTATGTAAAAGGATTGGGAAAAAAATGCGGTAATAAATATTGACTGGAAGCGTTTTTAACGAGTTTATCACTCCGCGTATAAAATATACACGTATAGTATTCTCTCTCGATCTTTTTATGTCCCACTCACGCGTATGCCGGCCGCACGTATTCCCTCCAAAACGTTTACGTACACACACACACGTACGGTGTTGATGTGTGCGAGCACATGCATATCGGTCCACAGCAATTAAACGGCATTGCAGTAGTAATTATAATGTGTGCATATAACGTAAGACGTGTGACGTTCCGCCGTGGCAGTAGTGTACACGTACAACAAATAAGTTTACTGTACAACACCACTCGCACGTATACGCACCACATGTATACGTGTTATTATGGTCGCGGTATTATATATTATTATTTTTTTCGTTATTTTAATTTTAATTTTTTTTTATTTGAATCTTTGGTTTTATTATTATTATTTTTTTTTTCGCGTCCAGCTTCTCCACCGCAAACCATGTAATACCAGTAACTGAAGCCATAAAAAATGTTTAATGGGCAAGAATCGTGTATTTAAAAGATCTATACAGTCTAATGGCATTTAAACACGTATAAATATATATTACGTATAGGTATACTATACAGCTGGTCGGACGTCTCGCGACTGCTTCCAGTAGGATACGACGAAAAATTAAAAATATAAAATAACGCTGCAACGCTTGTTACTTGTTTGTTTATTTACATTTATTTTCACACTACTTGCTACCCATTATAATACTAGCGCACCTTCGCGCACTACAATGTAGACGTAGTAGTGTACTACTAATGTAATATGTACCATGGAGTATTTTATTAACAAATTTAAACAAAAAACCGGAATACTCCGACTCCGAGGACGTTGTAACCGACGGTATTTTAAACGGTATGTATATTTATTTGTATATTATACTTGTGCATACATTTTATGTTATACATTTACGAATATTTTAGCGATTAGGTTAAATCGTGAATTTAAATGTCTATAAAAATGTTAAAATTTCAACTTAATTCTACTTTATCCCAACCGATATCCCACATATAAACGGGCTTAAATAGATAACTGAAATGCAGTTGTGCTAAAAACGAATAGGAAAATATATAAAGAATCTTAACCTATAAGGCTTATGCCAAATTCGTCGTGTATGTACATTTATATCGTATATGTCAGTATATATGGAGCTTGCCAAACCCATATTGTGACCGGTGAATGCGTAATTTAAACGTGTTTGACGTCCTCTATAGAACGTTCGAACCACGGTCATTGTTACAATCATACGTATAAAAAAAAAAAAAATTATCAGTAAAAATCGGCCCAAATACATATGCATATACTCAATAATTCATTTTAAATTTGTAAGAAAATAATAACCGATTTAATACCAATAACCATTGATTAACTGTCTTGTTTCAACATTACTTATTATGTATCATGTTTTCGAAAATCAGTGGTGATTTTCAATTAAATTTACATCATCGAATCGAATGCGGTAGATTAATACATAATTAAAAATTTTGAAAACTAATAAAAAATCAATAACATAAATAACCTCGGTGTATAAAAACGAGAAGCGACGTGGTAATACTGGAGCGATGAAATGTAATTGCTATATGTCGAAACAGAAAATGTATACAAAAATAATGTATTTGGTGTTTTGCAGTTTATTAATACCTAATTTATAGTTAAAATCGTGTAGATCGTAATCTCCTTACAACGGGTAGTGAGTTTATGTCCTTCGAAAGAATATTTTGATATTTTGCGTTCGCAATTATATTACAATGTTCCTATTATGTACATCAACATAGGTGCATGCGTGCCAAGAAAAAACCGCGAGGACAATAATTATTTTCTAAATATAAACATACACGTACAATTTATGCATCGATATCGTTTCGAATACAAATTAACAATTTTATACGTACTTCTTTTGACTTCAGCTGATTTGGGGCACTCCTCTAAAACAACGGCCGGCACGGCAGTAACCGTTTGGTAGAAACGACCGTCCATGTCCGGTGTCACCAACGGTTGGCCGTTTTTCTCCTCAACATTCGTTTTCCCGAACATTCGCATGGTCCTGGGGGAGAAAAAAAATACAAATTAACAAATAAAAAAATGACCCAACGTTTTGATAACACCGTGATGCAAACAATCACTAACGTTAACAATCAATCATTATATTAATACGATGACACTGAAAATATGGCTAACCGGTGGCGCGGTATAATATTAGAGTGGATATTGTTATTACAACATCGTGAGTCTGTACACCGACCATGACGGCTATACCATTATAATGTAATATACCGTGTGGTGCAGTATTGCATTATATTAGCTGGACGTGATTATTGGCGGTCGTGTACGAGATTCACGCGGCACGTCTCCGAGAAGAAACCTGCGGCCGATCGCCGCGCGCAAAACGCTTAATCTCCTTGACCGGAATATGGGTGCAGAGGTGGAACTAGGAATTTTTTACGCCCAGGGAAAATGTTAAAATTATGCCTTATCGTAGACCAATAATCAAATAGGTACTCTTCTCGAGAATTTTTTTTTAATAATTAATATGCAATCATACTTATTGAGTTTTAACCTAATATCAGTATTTAACAAAGTTAAAAATATCAAATTAGTTGTTAGTAATTACAAAAATTATAATCTCTAAAATTTTACGCTCGGGGATAAATCCCCGTCTTCCACCCCTAGTCACGCCCCTTTATAGGCGTTTAACATAGCAATGTCATCGTTGTTTACGTGTTCACGTTTTCTTTGGAAAACATGCATGCGAGGGCAGCCGGATGACATAGTGGTGGTGCGGCCGGTCCTACGGTGGCCTAAATATGTTTCGACGTCGATATCGCGTGAACCGTCGAGTACGGGTTTCGCCGAGAGCCCATCGTGCCCACAGATTTGACCGTGCCGAGATCGCCGCGATGTCCGTTGTTCTGGCGACGAGTTTCCGAGATTCTGTCCGACGAAAAACACTCGTATTCGAACGTCAACGATGCGAGTGTTCTAGTTCATCAGATATCGCGACGGTTTTTATTCATGCGCGAGCGCGGCCGCAAGGTAAAATCCCACCCGGGGCGAGATTAAAATTCTAAGTGTCAAAACAACGTGTATCTAAAAATAGACGAGAACAAAATCAAATACCATAGAAATCGGCGGTACTCGGGAGAATTTATAGCTCTAAGCGATATGCAGTCATGTGTAAACATTGTAGACTAATAAATACGTTCAAGATTATACATTTTAGATTATCTATAAGTATAATCAGTTTTACTAAACTTCATAAATGGATCTCAATGAAATTATCTTATAATTAATATGCGTGGTATTAAATTAACAATAGTTTTGAAATAAAAATTTCCAGTAGGGGCAATGGTCCCTTTGCCCCCCCCCCCGTGGGCGCACATGTTCGTGTGGTAAAGCCGTTGACGAGCCCGCGTTATAGAACAACAACGGTTCTGGCAGCTCCGGACTGATGGAGATCCGCCGCGGTATTCGGCCATCGTATATCGGCGACGGCTACGGAAACGCGTCTTTATGCGTTATGACAAACGGCAACGAACCGGTGGGAATCGGACAGGCAACGCGCGCGCACGTCAGATAGGCGGTGTTCGAACTTATCTAGATGAATTATCTAGATACTGGTTTATTCATCGTTTATCTTATCTATAAAATAAGTAGTAACAAGGTTCTATCTAAACATTTATCTTAGATGGATATTTAACCGATCCATATACATTTCAATCACTAGAATTGTGCGCGTTTTTAAACTTTTATTTAAATCTTCAATCGAAGTTTATAAGTTGTAGAATAAAAATGATACAATTTACAAAAATTTAAATAAATCCTAGATGTGCCGTGGGAGTTAAAACAACATTTATTGCACCTAATATAGGTAACTGTTTTTTTTAAAAAAATTAATTAATATAATTTTTGAATATTTCCCAAAAACGTTGAAATCATAGACCCATAACATAACTATACAACATACATTAGATACTAAAACACAATATTTATAAAAGAATAATAATTAACAATAGGTAATTTTACTAAATAATAAATTCAAAATTTCTTTGTAATTTTTGTGATTTTGTCTTAGTAAATTTATAGCACAAACAAATCAATTGATGGGGCGGAGGGTGATCACTTTTATCACCACTCCTCAAATACGCCACTAGTAGGTGTCTCCGAATCGAGGGTTTCCGTGATAAACACATGCAATATACGTATACACTGTTGTTTGGTCTTGGAGGGAGTTCGTGATGAATTCGACTCTTCGAAATGATGCATATAGGTATATAACACATTATTCTATACGTGTAAGACGCGACAGACAAGTGCATTAAATGCAGCAGCAGTTTTTTTACGCGTCGGGTTTTCGAGCGTAGTCGCACACAGGTGAACAACATCTGGCTGCTCGTTGCTGGTCTGATGTGGGGAAAATAAATCGTTGCATTTGCAGTCGCGCAACCCAGAATCGCGGTTCGGCCGTGTACCATACATTACGGTTTCGGGCCTGCAACATGCATAAATAGCCATTCCCGCCGCCCCTAGCCGCGCCATACGGTGCGGGTTCGCGTATGATGCGCCGAACGACGGAAACGTCGATCCTTCTTCATTGGTCCTGCACGTAATATTGTGACGTACATAATATAATTCGTGTATGTAAAATAAAAATGTGCAATCATGCTTACGATAAATCGTCATTTCAGAATCATTGGACGTCATGGGTGTTTTAACGGAGGGTAGGGGATTTTAATGAATTTTATGTTCACGTTTAACTGATATTTAGTTATAATCAAGGCTCATAACTTTTACCATTTTCATACATTTTTTTACAGGTCCTAGAGATACCTATGTGAGCTACAGATTTGTCTCAGAAAACTTAAAAAGTAAATATTATATGTTATTCTCTATATTTTTGCGTATTTCGAAGTTTGAATACTATATTTTATTTTTTTTTTTTGTGCACTGTGGCATTTTTTCTTAATATCAAGGAGGGAGATCTTATCTTGAATATCACAAAACTACCGATATTGAGGGCAGATTTGTTTCTAATATAATTGTTAGTATAATAGAAGCAGATTATCCGAATAGGTAAGCAATATTTATTATACTTTTAGTGAATATTTAAGCACATATATGTTATTATTTTCCATACATGACTTGTATGTTGTTTTTATATAAGAAAGGGAGTGTAGGGGATGAGCTTCCGTGGCTCATTTTGTAATACATTTTCATATCCCCTATAGATATTAAAAAACCCTAAGAACGACTCAGTAGGACGCGGTAAAACGATACAAGACCCACATTTTCCATAAACACGTTTGGAAACAACAGAAGTAACTGCGCGGGAAAAGGGACGAAAAAAAGTACATTTTGATTAATATATGATAACGCGAGTATACTTCATTTTCTACGAACGTTTTGTACGTGTACATAAGTATCGACAGATGATTCTTGCGATCACGATCTGTTGTCAAAATTGGACTTTATACGGTTCGCACTTGTATCAATAATTATTTATATACACATTATAGCGTTGACTATATTGCGGAACACTAGGTGAAAAAAATTAATTTGAAAATTAAATCCGGTTTGTTTTTATCGTTTAATTCGCTATAAACGCGCGAGCGTGTTAACGGTTTTTTATTAGAATAGGTCATTGCGAAAATTGAAATTTCTATTTTAAACTAATTACATACTTCTAATACGTTGCAATAATAATGAATGTGAATATTCCACGAAGAATACCAATGAAATCGATTCACATTCATTAATTGCAACAAGGTAGGATCGAATAAGCCAAAGTTTGTAGTGTGAAGTGAGCAAAGTTGATAATAATCATTTCAAAATTATAATTTCGTCGCATACAATATCAGGAAAATATATTTAAAATTGTTAAAAGGATGTTGCTGATAAATCGTTTCCGTACACGTATTGACATATCAACTCTAAATATATAAATATGATGATGTGAGACAAAAAGGAATTATTTTCTAAAAAAATATACCAAACATAATTTGCATATTTCGGAGACGTCCCAGAAAATTAATAAATTAACAGCCGTTTGGAATTCCGCTATTGTTTTTATGGTATCACCGGGTTATTCTTCTGTTCACGCAGCGATACACAATTGTGTGTCGTGCAGTCAATTGAAGGATAATGGTTATTTATTCCTATGCACAGGGAAGATCCATATGAATACATTATATATACGTACATATTATATAATTTAAATGTGTGGCGTTCAACGCAGTGACAATAGTATTCGCAATAGATACATAACATAGTATATTATACATTATATACAGTCGACTTGAGGTATTTCGTAGGAATCCGATGCGCTGCAGTAGAATCGCGCATTGTCCCTGGACAACCGGACGGTCACCAATGGTATCGTGTCCGAGAACCAGTTGGTTATCTTATCATTTGATAAGATGTTACGTATCGATAACTTATAGGGTTACCGAGATTTATTCGAACCCACTTTTCACGATCTAATTATACACGATCTGCCGAGCGATTAAAACGTACGGATCGCATGCACACGCAATAAAATGTTTGCTCACGCGGTTGATGTTAATAATATGATGGTTGTAAATCAAACATCACCCGTGCACATGTAACGTATTGCACACCTGTATAATACCATTCGTATACGCAAACACATTTTCAAGTGCGTCATATTCACTGTGATATATCTTCGACCCGAGGTTTTCATGAACGCGGGTCGTATACGTACGAGTATACGTACAGTGCCATACAAGTTCTGAAACGTTACGATCTGCACGTGTGCAGAATTTTTCAGCGGAATTCTCGAAAATTAAACGTGCCAAACAACATTTTTTTGGTTAAAGTTTCCGACTGTTCGACTATCGACACAGGTAGATTGTGTAGGTTTACACTTGTACCGTATCAGTAAGTAGCTCGCTATTTTTCGCTTATTTTTTCGTTAATTTTCATTTATTGTATACTATACAGTAGATCAGGGGCGTATTTAGACTTACTTCTAGGGGGAGGGGACTCAAATATTTTCTTTAATTTAGGCTCAAAATTTACAAGTAAAAT